TTGCTCGATGACCCCCCGCCACGTCCTTCGCAAGGTGGCGAGCTAGCTCTGCGGCCCGGCGCGCCCGCCGAGGCCGCCGAGGCCCCTCCCCCGCGTGCTTTCCCGCCGGCTTGCCGCCCGCCGCGGGCCGCGGGGCTCACCTCGAGGGGCCCCGCCCGCCCTGCGGGGGGGCCCTGGTGCAGCAGAGCTCCGGCGGCGTGTCCAACACGATCGCCAAACCACTGCCGCGCCACGTCGACCCACGCGCTGGCCCAGGCCATGCCGCGACCCTCTGAACCTCGCGTCTTTTGGGGCCAGTCCCGACGCGACGCGGTTCCCCACCCCTTTTTTGGGGGGGAGAACCGAGCCATCTCCCGGCGAAGCCTCGGCGAGGGACCCTCCTCCTCCAGCTGCGGCTCCAGCTCGCGCCGGTGCTTCCCTGTTCTGGCTCCCGCGGCGCTCCTGGACCTCCTCCGCCTCCGCCGCGCCCTGCGTCACGAAGAGGGCCTCTCACCGGGCGCCTCGCGCTCCGGTGGCTGGCTCACCGAACGAAGGGCTTAAGGGCAGGGCTGGCTCCGCTCGGCTGCGTGTGGGCGACAAGGCCTCGCCCTCTTGCGCCACCGTGTCGCTGCCGAGCGACTCGTCAGTGCAGTAGCACTCGTAATACGAATCGGGGGTTGCTAGAAGTGCCCCTGGCCCAAGGCACCTCCAGAATTTCAACGGAGGCCCCCCCCGGCCTCCAGAGCAACCCTCACGAGGCCCAGAGGCCTCCGGGGGCTCCAGGATGGGCCGAAAAGCTGCGGGGGGGGCACCTTTAGCAACCCCCGAACCAAGTGCCGCAAACCACCTGCGTCTTCACTCGACTGCCAGGGCGCCCACGTCGGCCATGGCTGGCGGCGGATCCGTAGCCGACGGCCCCGCCGGGAGGGGGACCGCCGCGACACTCGCGGGGGCGCTTCACGTCTGAGGAAACACCTGGCGCCTGCACCTCGGCGGCGTTTGCCGCCTCCTCCTCCTCTTTCTCCTCCTCCTCCTCCACCTCCTCCTCCTCACGTTCATGGCCGTCACTTAGCCCAGCGGCGTAGGACGCAGTAACTGAGAAACTGGCGAACGAGGCCGACCCCCATCTCCGCGACAAGCGAGCCCAGGACAGCCACCAGCGGTCGCCACCGTGTGCTGGAGGGAACACACGTGGCGCATCGTGGCGAACTGTGGCCCCTGCCCAGGGCCAGGTCGCAGGCGGTCTGACCGTTTTGGCGCCTGCACACGTGCTGTGCCTCGTGGGCTGCTTTTTTGTCGCCCTCCGAGAGGAGCGAGGGAACCCTAAAAAGACGTCTGGCAACACTTGTATTGAGGGTCCTGATGTGTAGTAAGAAGATGCGAATTCGCAAGCTTTTTGGACATCTCAACTGTTTGAGAATGCCTGCAACGAAAGCCGAAATTCAAACCTCATAACGCATGACACGTATGATTCAACATATAAATTGCCGGGAACATATCAATCGAGAGCCCCGCGTTTGAAGACACGTCGTGATTACAATAGATCAATCAGATCTCTGGTAACGTATGATGCTAAAATTCTACGGTTGTCCATTTCCGACAACTTCTCAACATCCGGAAGATCTCTGAGAGTCTGAGGATGTTTACGTGTCGCAAGCGACCAACCGCCCCTGGCTTGACATGTTCTAAGGGGGGGTCTCACAAACCAAGGGACCCCCCTTGAAAAAAATCAGACGGGGGCCTCAAAAACAGAGAAGCCCGCACAAGGGGGGGAGGGGGTATCGAACAACCCCACGTCGCCGCCGCCGCCGTCGCCATCGTCGCCGTCGCCGTCGTCGCGGTCGCCGTCGGCGTCGCCGCCGCCGCCGTCGCCGCACCACGTCGTCGTCGTCCTGGCCGCCACCACGGGCCAGAGCCAGACCCCAATTCAGGTCACGTCCACTCACGTCCACCATCGCTACCGTCGTCGCAATCACCACCGCAGCCGTCGTCGTCGCCGTCGCCGTCGTGGTCGGCGTCGTCGTCGTCGCTATCACGGGCCAGAGGGAAATCCCAGTTGGGTCACATCCAATAGGGGCCAAAGCTAGACCCCAATCGGGTCAAGTACCGTCGTCGCCGCCGCCGTCGTCGCAGCCCTCGTCGCCGTCGCCGTCGTCGCGGTCGGCGTTGTCGTCGTCGTCGCCTTGGGGGGGGGAGGGGGGGCGACCCACCCCCGCCAGCAGCGTCAGAAAACGATTACCCCATTTGTGTCAAACCAACGTCGTAAAACAACTCCCACGGCATCCCCAAAGTGTCGAGATGTCTCAGTGGACCGCCCCCCCCACACCCTGTTGGATATCGTCCTCTCCATGCTCGACACCCCATCCAGTCTAAGGCGGAGGCCCCGACCACGACCAGAGAACCCTGGGCCCAAGACCTGAATAGGAAGATAACGCCGTCGGATGTTTGGATCGTTGTCGGCGCCGTTAGCGTCCTGGTTGTGAACATGGCCGTCGTCCTCCTCATCCTCCTCCTCGTCCTTCTCCTCCTCCTCCTCCTCCTCCTCATGCTCCTCCTCCTCCTCCTCATCTTCATCCCTAATCCCCCCTCCTTTTGCTTGTTCTCCACACTCCACCCTCTCTTCTCCTCCCTTCTGGGAAATCATAAGAGCAAGTGGCAACCACTCGTCTTTTCGCACAAGTGACGCTCACACGAATACTCTGCGCAGTGAGGAGGCGACGGCTCACACAAAGTTGTTCCCCGACACGTCCAATTCCTGGACGCGCGCAGAACAAAGGCCTTACGTTGCGTAATATGGAACACGATGTTCGCCAAGACGCTGCCGGATTAGCAGGCATACGTGGCACGCATCGGCCGAGTGCGGCAACCGACGAGGGGCAGATAGCGGCGCCCGCTCCGCGCACCGAAGCCGGCCAGGAAGCATCACCGGCCTTCCCGGGCCGGGCGAAAGGGGGGGATAGCAAAGAGGGGGGCTTGAGCATCTGCTCACGTCTAGCTGATTCTCCCGGCGCCTCCGGGCGCCGGGAGGCGCCCATATATGTGTCGAGGAAGGGGCCCGGCGGCGGGGCCGAAACCGGCCGCACGCCGCAGATGTCGCAGGCCCCCCATTGCCCTATCCCCCCCCTTTCCGTGCGGCCGAAACCAGCTGCGTGCAGCAGAGGTCGTATAGCCCCCCTTTCCCTGCCTGTCCCCCCTTTCGTGCGGCCCGAAGCGGGCAGCCCGACCTCCTGCCACCGCCCGCGGGAGCACCAGGAGCACACCGCGGGTCCGCCCGCGCTGCGAGGGCGCCCGTCCCCAGGGGGCGCTCGGGGCGAGCGGGGGCGGCGGGAAGAAAGCATGCGAGGGCCGTGTGCGCCACCGTGCCTGCGAGGCAGGAGCGGGAGTCTCCTCGGATAGAGGAAAGAGAACTATGCACATACACCGATTCTGGCCAGGCCCATCCTGTGCCCAGGATCGGTGCATACGCCCTCCTACCTTGGCCAGGAAGGCATATGCACCGATCCTGGGTCAAGGATGGGCCTTGCAAGGATCGGTGCATGTGCATAGTTCTCTTCGCCCGATCGGACTCGAGTAGGACCAAACTGGATGCATTCCGTACAACTGTTGGCTGGTGAGAGAACTCGAGATGGCGATCCGGCCGGGTGGGGCAGCACTGCCACGGGTGGCTGGCGCCTGCGCCCAGGCTGGCCATGGCAATCTCATGCGCGATGCGTCGGGCATTCGAGGAGGACCCCACTGGATGCATCATGTATTTGCTAGCCGCCAGGAAAATGAATGCGAAACAGTGATCTGGGCAGGGAAGGAAGCATTGCCAAGGGTGGCTGGCGCCTGCGCACAGGTTGGCCATGGCAAACTCATGCGCGCCGTGTCAGGCATTCGGGCACTCCTGGGCCCATGACGTCATCTACGAAAGCTCTGGAGCCGTCGATGGCACAATTGGGATGCCCGGAGTCCCGACAATCCTGCGCAGAACTCCAACAAATTGTGCTTGCGCCCCCTTTGCCTTCCAGTTGGCCCACGGCTTCGCGCAGAACGCAGAAAAGGGCCCTCTGCAGGGCATTCCATGGGCCGCAGGACTCGATTTTAAACCAGACTCGAACTTCTCCCTATCCCTAAGATCGGCAAGCCAAAAGCGCTGATATTATCAGAGAAGTGCCTTCAGAAACTGAGGGAATCCTTAAGATCGGCACCGAAATAAAGGGATGCCAAACATGGGGACAGGGATATATATATATATATATATATAGATATATACATATATATACATACACACACACACACACCTATCTGTATATTATATAATACATGTATCGCAAACTGAAGAATTTTCGCTCACCTCCGAGCCACCGATCAGGGCCAGCCACGCGACGACTGCGGCCGACCCCAACGACCGGCGGTCGTGGAGACCCGTCGACTGCTGCCGCGCCAGACACCCCTTGGCAGCGCCTCTGGCGCTGCCACTGGGGCGCTCCGCGCGTGAGGGGGGGGGGTCCAGCGCCGATCCAGGGCATACGAAAGCTCATGTGCTTGTGCTGCTCTCTCTCTCTCTCTCTCTCTCTCTTTTTCGCCCATTCTAGTCTTACAGGACTCCATGGTCGCACACCTTGATAAGAAATGAAAGTACCCCTAACCCCTTGGGAGGGGACCTAGTCAGGAGGGCCGAGAACGTTGGGGATGAGTTTTTTGTTGTTTCTGCAGATGCATCAGACCAAACCGACCAGATTATCATCCCAAGTGCGAAGACGGGGACCTCAGTGAGGAAACGTCTTCATTGTGGTATTAGGGTTAGGGGTTCACCGACCCTCGATGACGCCTGGCAAGGAGGGAGATTGGTGAAATCGGCTCCTTGCAGCTGGTGCTTCGGGCACGGGACCGACCCTGTGTCGAGACGCCGGGAGCGGCCATGCATTGAGGACGGTGCCTGTCGGTGGGGCCGGAAGCAACGGCATGCAGTAAGCGTCCCTTTCCTATCCCCCCCGGTGTCCTCCCCGACTCCTCCAACTGACAATCCTCATGGCTGCTCACTCGAGGCTTGCTACAGCGTCTGAAGGTGATGTCTCGGCGGCTTCGGGGCCGTCTTCGCTCGCCTGGTGAGCGTAGACAGCCACCATGCGACGGCACTCCTGTGGTACAGCGCTTGCCTCTGTATGGTCGTCATCTCCAAGTAGTCCTCCAACAGGATACCCTGATTGTCCTAAATGCCTCACGTAGAAATTCAGATAATCCAGGCCACGCCGCGTACGTCCATGGACGACTTTCATCTCAACCTTACCAAAACCAATCCACCCCAGAGTCTCGGCATCACGGTGCAATACGGTGAACTGGTACCCCCCCTGTTGTCTTGACTCTGCCCAAGATCCTGATATGTTCAGTTCTTGAAAATACATATCGGTGCATCCACCAAGTCGTTGCGCAAGGGCCTGCACGCGAAGGAACGGCACATCACGTTCCTGCTTGGGAATGTTGATCAGAATATGCCTGCCCGGTTTCATCAAATCGAACCGCTGACCATGAACGTTTCGCAAGTGAGGATCGCCAGTAGCGGTAGCACCCCCGCCGCCGCCTGCTGGGCCGCCATTTGGAAATGTAGGAGTCGGAGTTGAAGTCGGCGCCGCTGTGATGAACAGGGTGACACTGGAGTCGATCGGATAGCTGTTTGCCAGACCACTTGCCAGCAGAAGAATTCCACCGCTCGCCGACGCCGATGAGACACGAGAAATCTGTATGCTGTCGATGATCCCAGTTTCACTGTTGCCACCGCCCTCGATCAAGATGTTGTCGCCGGTGTTGAATCCCGCCGTGGACAACACACGCACCTCTGTAGCACCTACCACCAGCGTGGACACCGTTTGAGTCGACAGTATCGTTGGTGAAGACGTGGGCGTTGACGTAGGAACCTGCGTCGGGCTTGGTGTAGGGCTTGGCGTTGGGCTTAGCGTCGCCGGAGGGATGCTATAGATGTAGAACCTCACACCTTCCAATTTTCGATAACCAGAGCAGCCACTCCCACCATTGACGCAACGGTACCCCGATGGCCCGTTCCAACAATCTGTAGCCCCATGGCCAAAGAAAAACCGACAGCATGAATCTGCATCGAGGCTGGGGCTGGAATGAACCAGATCTATGCCGTGTGTTGTGGAAAGTAAAGTGGCCCAGGTAGTCACAGAATGATACGAGGTACCCAACCCAATCAGAGTATTTTCCTTGGTCAGGCCAAACGATGCCGATGTGTCGACGTACGTGTCGTTCGTCTTGACGTACAGATCCGCCACGGTGCTGCGAGGCACTGAGAGGAGTATTCTGAGGCGGCCAGACCCCCGATTCACCGAAATGTTGGGCGCACGACCCGAGGGACCGTCCTGAGGCTATCCTGGAGTCCTACTGGGCCACCCTGAGGCCTTCGGGGCGGACTCCCAGGCCAAAGTCAACGAACACCAACTGTTGTCACGCGTCGGTCATACGAGCGTCCAAGACGGCCCACGAGGCGCCCAAAGAGGCCTCCGAGGCTCCCAAGAGGCCCCCAAGAGTGGCCCAAGAGGCGAGGCGCCCACGAGGGGCGAGCGAGTCTCAACTTGAACTGCTACTCAGACCCGCCCACCCAAAGAGGACCCATGAGACAATCAGCTGGCACCCAAGAGGCGCGACAGAGGCCTCCAGAGGTCCCCGAGAAGCCCGCAGGGGGTCCCCAAGACGCCCTGAATGAGCCCCGAACGGGCAGCCAACAAGCCTCCAACAGCCCCCACGAGCCATCCAAGAGGCCTCATGTTCATGACCCCCGCACGGTGGGCGGGCTGGACCGAACGCCACTGGATTCTGAGGGCAATCTGAACTCCTGATCTGGTAGATATGCGAGTAGCCGTCCATTTCCAGGGCCATGGAATTGATATCCGAGTCGGACAACTTTGCATGACCTGAACCTACCGCCGAGCTCATGTCTCCATAAGCTCCGGCGGTCAGGGGAAACGAGTACAGAGTCCTGTCGGAACCATCCTGGATCTGGTAGATCTTGTTCCACGACGCACCGCTGGCAAAAGTGGGCGTTGGTGTAGGCGCTGGCGTTGGAAGCGGAGTTGGCGCCAACGAGGTGGGATCCCAATAGATGTGGAACACGACATCATCCAACTTCTTAAAAGAACAACCACCCCCACCAGATACGCAACGGTGGCCCGATGGCCCGCTCCAACAATCCGTTGAATGGTGCCCAAACATATACCGGCAACACGCCCCTGTACCAGTGTCTGAGGCGAGCCAAGGGCTGGTGTAAACAAGGTCTATGCCCAGTGCCGTGGACTGTAAGGTGGACCAAGTAGGCACCGACTCATATGAGGAGCCCAACCCGACTAAAGTATTCTCCTTGGTCAGGCCAAACGATGCCGATGTGTCGACATACGTGTCATTAGTCTTGACGTACAAATACTCAGGGCAATCAGAGCTCTTGATCTGATAAATATGCGAATAGCCGTCCCGCGCCGTGGCCCTGGCGTTGATGTCCGAGTCGGACAGCTTCGCGTTGCTTGAGCCAGGGGCCGACCTTATGTCTCCATACGCTTCAGTCGTTAGGGGGAAGGAATACAAACTCTTGTCGGGACCGTCCATGATCTGGTAAATCTTGGCCCACACCGCACCGTTGGCGTAAGTCGGTAAGGGCGTAGGCGCCTGCGTTGGTAGTGGAGTTGGTGACAGGGAGGGTGGGGCTGGTGTCGGTGCGACGACATCGTAGCCCGCTGCGAACAGAGAAGTAACACTGATGATGTGCTCGGACTCGTTGAAATTGTTGAGGTTCGGGAAGACGGAACTCAAATGGCCAAGATCAACCCGCAACGACGGCTGTCCAGAAAACCACTGCGCGATCGGGACCATCACGCTCTCCCACGGGTACCGTGGGATCATTCTTCCTCGGCCCACGTCCTGGGAGCTGCCCTCCAGCAGGGACTCGTGGAACTCGTTGTAGATGCGGCCGCCGCGGATGCTGCCGCCCAAGACGAAGTGGTTGCCCGCCCAGCCGTGGTCGGTGCCCTGGCCGTTCGAAGTGAGCGTCCGCCCGAAGTCGGAGCTGGACACCAGCACCACGGAATTGAAGACGTCCTGTGCCTTTTGAGCGTCGCCATTTCTGTCCCCGTTCCCACTGGGCCAAGGCACCTTGGCCCCACTGGCCTACACCGCAATCGGGGATAGATGCAGGAGAGCCCAGGATCGAATCGGTACATCGGATCAGCGATCGAAATGAATGGGATCGGAGGAAATCGACTGCCGAGTCGGGAGAAGTCGAATCGGCAGAAATCGGCAGTCTGGTAGGCCTCCACAGAGAAATCGAACCCGAATCGAAATCCGAAGCCGAACCGAATCGGAATTGGAAGCCATCGAGGTCTAGTCGAATCGAATCGGAGGAATCGAAACGAGCCCTGTGGGGTGGTGTCATTGTTTTCCGGTCGAACCTGCACCCCACCAGCCTACCCCCGTCGGGGAAAGATGCCGCAATACCCAAGGGAGACAGCATACGCCCCCCCCCCCCCCCCCTCTGGGGAGCAGGTCGGCCAGCGGGGTCGGGACTGCCCAAGACGGGCATGGGGCCAGGCATCACCAAGGAGCAAAACAAACACCATCATAGTCAGCACCCCTAAAGGCGAGGCCATTTAGTAAAAGCAACCGAGGAAGGAATCAAACAGGGCAGGGCTGATTGATAAACGCCAAGGGCCGTTTAGTGAACGCCAATTGTCGGGGTCGAGGTGATTTTTCCTCACTTGGCTCACGATGCAGCGCCTTCAATTCGGCAACGAAGTCCGCCAGGGCAGCGTCGATTTCCGCAAACCGGTCGCCAGTGTCTGTCAAGCTGAAGTGCGTATCGAAACCGTGCATCTCCACGAAGAAGAGGTCCCGCTCCGCAGAGCGAGCTGTCCTCGTCGAGATGAGCTTGGCGACCTGGTTCAGCTGCCTGGCCAAGCTGGTGGTGGTGCCGAACGAGTCGGTCGCAAGCTCCGTCGCCTCCAGGAGCGCTCCTAGCCTTTCACTGGACCTGATGGCGCCAGCGAGCTGCTGCGCGTACCCCTCGGTGTAGACGTTGCCGTAGCTGAGGGCCGTGATGTTCCCCACGACGGCCTGCAGCTCCTGGTAGTCCTGCATGCGCACGGCACCGTTCCAGCCGTCGAGGACCTCCACGGAGGTGGTGTACCCCACGGACCACGTGGACGAGCCCGCGATCGAGAACGAGGAGGTGAGGAAGCCCTCGGCGGCCAGGGCGTCGGCCAGGCGTCCGCCGAAGCCCTTGGAATACGTGCCCTGCACCTGTCGGGGGCGCGCAAACATGGATTAGCGATCCACGGATTTGAAGCGCGGTCGCCAAATCCATGGAGCGGGGGGAGGCGCCCTCCCCAAAATGCGGCCGGTGCCGCCTCGTTCGGCGACGGAAATCCCCGATTTCCCCTGGAAACGGGACCCGTCGCTAATCCACGCCCCCTTGATCCATGTTTACGATCGCCTGCACCTGGCACTTCAGCGTCATCCCGCCGTTCTGCTGGTCGCTGTGAGAGAACAACCCGGCGCACGTGGGCGCGGTCCTCGTCCAGGGCCCCAAAAAACCGCGCGGTGACGGACCGCGGTGACGTCGGCATCGCCCACGACCTCACCGCGCAGTCCGTCACCGCATGGTTTTTGTGAGCGTTTGTTTCCCCCAACCCTTCCCTTGGTTGGCTCTCGCTTTGAATAGAGCAGTGGGGTGGCAACTTCCTTCTCCCTCTTCTTCCCGCCCTCGGTCCCCCATCTCGCCTGCCTACACCAATCTGACCTGCCTGCTGAGTGACCGCACAGCGGGTGGGGCCCCACGCAGACCCAAACGGGACCTCGCCATCCCTGGGGGGTTGCCAAGTGTGAAACCGTCGCCACTTTCGAGGGCTGCTGGGGGGCCAGGGGACCGCCATCCCTGGGGGGGGCCTGCGAAGTGTGAAACTGTAACCAATGTTTAGGGCTGCTGGGGGGGGGGGGCAGCACAGTGGGACCCAACGCAGACTTCGAGGACCTCGCCATCCCTGGGGGGGGATGCGAAATGTGAAACTGTCGCAGCTTTGAGTGTTGCTGGGTCTGCAGGGATGCTGTCACATTATTGCACCGTCTCTTGCAGTGTTGCGTCGACCTATTGCTGACACACCTTGGTGCCGTTGGGTTGGGTACGTCGCAGGGTAATTTCCCTCCAGGGTAACGGTCGTTACCCAGGAGGGGGGGGGTCGGGCGGGAGGGGAACGGTACCGGCGGCCGCGGCGTGCACGCGCCAGGGTGCGTCCGCGCCACCGGCGCATCAGTCGCCTGTGTGCACCACAGCCCCCGTATACGCAACAATGCTGAACACCTCCGTGTAACACAGCGCCGCCTGTGTACACCACAACGACTCCGAACACCACAACAACCGCGTGCACCGCACCACGTCGCCTATGTTCGAGGCAAGAGAAATATGCACATGCACCGATTCTGGCCAGGCCCATCCTGAGCCCAGGATCGGTGCATACGACCTCCTGCCTTGGCCAGGAAAGCCTATGCACCGATCCTGGGCCCAGGATAGGCCTGGCCAGGATCGGTGCATATGCATACTTCTCTTCGCCCGACATGTACACTGTAGTGTCTGTGTAAACTGCAGCAGCAGCAGCAGCAGCAGCAGCCGTGTGCGCAACAACGTCTGTGTACTGCACACTGCATGCGTGCACCGGAGCGCAACGCCCGCGTACACCACAACAACCGTGTAACGCAGCGCCTGTGCACGTCACAATGCCTCCGTGCACCAAACGCCTGTGCACACCAGAACGCCAAAGGACCCAGCGAACACATTAGCAGCTTGGAGAGAGCGTGATCCACCGTCGCTTTACTGTGGAAAATTCCCCCCTTCTTCCTCCGGAACCCGGGGGTCCCCCCCCCCTCCGAAAATCCCCCCCCCTGCTGGACCCCCCCTCCCCTTCCCCGGCAAACCCCCCCCTGCCCCCCCCCCCGCGGAAAACAGGGGGGTGTCACTGCTGGTTCGAACCCCTCCCCCCCCCCTCAGAAGACCAAAGGTCACTACCGGTTCGAACCCCCCCCCCCCTCCAGAAAACCGAGGGGGGGTCACTACCGGTTCGAACCCTTCCCCCCCCCCTCTCGAAAACCGGCGGGGTCACTACCGGTTCGAACCCTCCCCCGCCCCTCCGGCAAACGGAACGAGGGGGGGTCGAACCCCCCCCCCTCGAAAACCGGGAGGGGGTCACTACCGGTTCGAAACCCCCCCTCCCCCCCTCGAAAACCGGGGGGCGGGTCACAACCGGGGTTCGAACCCCGTCCCCCCCCCCCCCTCCACGCTCACCGCCAGCAAACGACTCCCCGTCCCTACCACCGTCCGCACCACATCCCCCACTGCTGTCCCCAGCACCACTGTCCTCACCACCACTGTCCCCACTGGTTCCACCACCGTCCCTACTGTCCCCACCAGTGCCCCCACCACTGTCGCACTGTCCCCACTGTCCAAACCACTGTTCCCACCACGGTTCCACTCTCCCCACTTTCTCCACGGCCCCAACCACTGCCCGACTGTCCCCACTGTCCCCACTTTCCCACTGTCTTCTCCGCTGTCCCACTGAGCTGTCCCACTGTTCCCGCCACTGTCCCCACTGTCCCCACCACTGTCCCAACTGTACCTCTGTCACGTTGTCCCACCGCCGTCCTCGCCACCGCCCTCACCACTGTCCCCACCACCACTTTACCCTCCACTGTCCCCCACTGTTTCCACCACATTCCCACTGTCCCCGGTGTTCGAGGGGGGGGGGTCGAACCGGTAGTGACCCCCCCCCGTTTTCCGCCAGCAGCGGTAGAACACGCTCTTTCGTAGCTTGCGAGGCCTCTTTGCGGGGCTCGCCACAGACAACGGAGGCCCTCAGGAGTCATTCGTCTCCTCCTCCTCCTCCTCCTCCTCCTCCTCCTCCTCCTCCTCATTTTCCTCCTCCTCCACCTCCTCATCCCTCTCCTCTTCCTCATCGCCCCGTCGCCGCCGCCAAAAGCAGAAGGCGCCGACGGGGAACGGCCGACACCTCCTTCTCCTCCTCATCCTCCTCCTGCTCTTGGTCCTCCTCCTCCTCCTCCATGCATGTGAGCTCGGCGCTGCAACAGGTGGGGAGCCTGCGAGCGCCACAGCACGTTTAGAAGCACCCCAGCATGTCTTTCAGCACCACGCCATGCATGTGAGCGAAGCGCCATACCTGCGGGGAGTCCGCCCCCTGGCATGTAGGGGGGGGTCCAGGCCACCCCGCCCAAAACGATCGTTACCGTTACCCGAGGGGGAGAAGGATTTGGCCGGGATAGCGACCGTTACGCTGGGGAGACTGGGAAAAACGTCCTCTTTGGGATCCTGGAGGCCCCAGTCGCTCGAGACATCCTCGGACAAAAACGCGTGGTGAACCCAAATCCCCACTGACTCACCACGCGGTGCGGTCACCACACTGTTTGGGGGCCCGCGAGTCCTCCACTCCTCCTTCGCGACGGGCTGCACCAGGCCACCGATGTTGGCCACGAAGGCCAGGTGGCCCTCCTGGTGGGACAAAAGCGGCATGAACATAAACTGTCGGAGCGGAGATCCGTGCGGAGATCTTGAACAAGGCTGGACCTAAACGTTGCTGTTCGTGCTGATTTCGTTTTGTTGTTCGTTTTACTCTATCTGCTTTCCTGCACCTCCCTGCCAAAACGAACAACTAAACCCAGCCTAAGTCCAGCAAAACAGCGTTGGGTCCAGCCCTGATCTTGACTCTGCGCTGAGCCCAGGCGCGCGGAGCGCGGAGCGCGCCAAGGGCGGCGCAGGAGGCTCCCAAGATGTCTGCGCGGAGCTCCGACAATTCGTGTTTATGCAATTTTTCTTCTGCTTCGACGTCCGTGTACAGGTCGTGGACGAAGCCGAGGGCGTGGTGGACTCCGAAGGAGCTGCAGTTTTGGGTGTCCGCCGAGATGCCCAGCAGCTCGCCCTGGGACAGCGCCACGTTCGACCGGACGGTGAGGTACTCCTGGTAGAGGTCGTCGCACATGGGCACCAGCAGGCTGTAGGTGTCTGCGCCCCCGTTAAGGAAGAGGAAAACGATGGCCTTATAAGATGACGCGTTCTGGGACGGCTCCTCCTCGGTCACGGGACGCTCGCCCGTCAGAGCAGGCTCGCCGAGAGTGTGGAACTCGGGCGACATGATCACTGTGCGCATGGCCGCCTTCAGGTGGTCGCCATCCACGTCTGCCTCGAGTGCTGCGTCGAAGGCGCGTGTATCGCTGATGCGCCCGCCGGTCAGCAGCAACGAGACCTCGTTGAAAATGTCGCTGGCGCTGCTACTGCCGGACACGGAGAACGATAAGTTTCCCTCTGGGTCAGCGCACGTGCGAACATGCTGGCCGAGACCGTGCTCGCACTGGGTGAGTCCGCCAGTGTCGACCAGAGACAGCATGCCGTTGAGCCAGGCGAGCGCATAGGGCGGCGTGAAGATCTCGAACTCGGGGGCAACCAGGCCGTCGGAGAAGCCTGCTGGCACGTACTCGACGCTGTAGAAGTTGAAAACGGAGGGCGAATTGTAGGGAAACTGGCCAATGTCGTTTTCCAGGTTGTCCATCAGGACCTGGCGCCCTCGCAGATCCCTGAACTCCATGGATCGCAGAAAGTGCAGCAACTTGACCATGGGCTCGCGCAGCTTTCCTACCGAGCTGCTCGACAGACTTCCTCTGGCTTCAGGGTGCAGCAATATTGCCGCGAAGGTTGCACCGAGGTCTCCGTACTCGCCTGAGTACGTCTCGCCGTTGTACACCCCAGTGCTGAACGCCTCAGCGACGGCGGACACGTAAGCCGGCGTCGGATTCGACGTGACCATGCGCTGGATCAGCCGATAGGACACGAAGGGCGGCACATTGGGGTGGTGAACGAGGTGGTCAAGCAGGGCCTCCACCTCAGCCAGTGCAGCTTCTGACCGCATCTGGCTTTCAAACTGGTCCGCGACCCAGCCGACACCAGACACCCACTGGGTGGTCATCCGGTCGTAGAGAGTGAACACGGGCGGATTGCGAAAGCTGTACCCGGCCACTTCCACGACACTCTCCTAAAGGCGGAAAAAATGCATGAGCAAAACTCTTGGAGCTAAGCGCAGATCTCTCGGAATCAGCGCTGGTAGCGCCATAGGCGCCGCCAGGGGGGGCCCAACGCCGGGAGATCCGAACGTGTGCGCCTAGGCAATGCGTTCTTCCTTGAATTGGCAAACCAGTAAATACTGATATGGCTCATCATTCTCCGGACCCCACCTGTGGTGCGACCAGCGGTGGCGACAAGGGCCTCCCAGGTAGCGGCATCGGTGCTTCTGATTGTTTACGCGATGTTTTGGTTATCCGATCTCCATGTTCTTGTAATAGACCCCGTCGCACTCGAACACCGTGCTCACATCCACACTCCCGCCCCCGCTGGCCACGTACGCCTCCGCGGATCGAGAAGCGAGGAGCGAGGCTCGTCGGTCGAGAATCGGGAATCGAGGAGCGAGGCTCGAGGCTCGATGCTCGAGGCTCGAGGGCCGAGAATCGAGACTCGAGGAGCGAGGCTCGAGGCTCGGGGATCAAGGGCCGAGGATCGAGGAGCGAGGAGCGAGGCTCGAGGCTCGAGGATCGCGGGCCGAGGGCCGAGGAGCGAGGAGCGGGGAGCGTGGCTCGAGGAGCGAGGCTCGAGGCTCGAAGCTCGAGGGTCGAGGAGCGAGGAACGACGCGCGAGGCTCGAGGCTCGAGGCTCGAGGAGCGAGGAGCGAGGAACGAGGCGCGAGGCGCGAGGCTCGAGGCTCGAGGCTCGAGAGCCCAGGATCCAGGAGCCTTCACCTCCCCGTCGCACGGCGCCAGGCAGGCGGCCGCGGGGCCCGAGGGCGGGAACGCCCCGATGCGCAGGCGGGCCGCCGCGCCGAGGAGCTGCGCCCTGTCCGGGACCGCGGAGAAGACGGCCCGCGCGGCCACGCTGACGGCGGATCGGCGGCGAGCGAGGGGAGAATGACGGGCCTGCTGTCCACCACCACCACCACCACAAGTTGGAGGGGGGAGGGAGGAGGACGACGCCAGACAGACGCCGATCGGTGCCAACATCCACTTCGATGCGAAAAACAAGCCCTAGGCCCTAGGGCCGACTTAGCAGCCGCGAAGTCCGGGCCAACAGCCGACCCACTGTTTACAGGGCCGAGAAATCCCAAACATCACTTGCACTACCCTTGGAAGCCTGAAAGTCTGGCGGCAGCACTAGCGACGGAGTTGCCGAAACCACTACCGTGAAACTCTCTGACCACGTTCCGCCGTCTCTTGAGCGGGGAGGACCGCGAGACGAGGGAGGCACAAGGCGCGCGGGAGAAGGAGGAGAACTACCCACATACATTCCCGACACGGCGGCAGCAGCAGCGTCAGTCCTCGAGCATCTCGCACTCAAATTACGCACCCTCATGACTCCTGACTTTGCACTCTCATGACTTGAGAAATCGCAGTGGCAGCAGCATCACACTCACGATCTGCACTCCTCACAAACCCATCCCACTCTCTAGCATGGACTGCAAAACTCTCACGATATGACTCATCGGTGCAATGCCGATCTTCTTCTCGAAGCCAAGCTGCACCAAGCATTTGACTAACGCGTTCAGCGAAACGATCTGAAATATCACGATGTTGCAGCTCCCCTCTTCGAGCACACCCTGAACTTTCACAAAGGGGAACAGCTCGCTCACGGCCATCAGGGACTTCTGATTGAGGCCCTCTTTCCACTCTAGCAACTTCTTGGCATTCACTGCGCCGGCGGCCATCCCGCACTCTCGACGCCCTCCACGAGCCCCACCAGGGCCGCGACGCGAATGCTTCCCAACTTCTGGACGTCCTCCTGTTTTCCGCGGCTGCGAAGATCCTGCGCCGCTTCGACCCAACCCTTGACCCTCGCCTTGGACTTGGTCACGGGGGCCGCTGCCTCGGGGCCGACCATCGCGATGAGGGCGATAGCCCCCTGCTGCCTCTGCCTCATCGTGACGTTGAGCAGGGGTTTCATCATCGCCGGCACCACTTTTCGGATGTGAGCCAGCTCGAAGCTCTCCAGCCCCTCTAGCTCTGACATCTCGATACTGTTCTGGCTCGTCTTCTGCGACGCCCTCTGCTCTGGTCTGCCGCCGTCGCCTCCTTGGCCGCCTCGCTCGGCCCTCAACGCGGGGCCTCCGCTCGCGGCGGACGAAGCCGCTGCGGGGACCTGCGTAAACATGCCACACAAACTCAGGAAGTGGCACAGGTAAGTGCACAGCAATGTGTCTGCGCCACAGCTCGAGAGAGGCAAACGGCTCTGCACACCCAGGACACACGCGCACCTCTGGATCAACGATGGGCGGGTCGTACGCAGAACTGTCCACCCTGCATCTACCGCATCGATAAGCATTGACAAGGTGGTGCACAGCCGTGTCACGGCAACGAAGCGCACTGGAGCATCCGATGCACTGATTCGTGACAGCGAGCTTCGCGACGACTGACAATATCCCCTGCTGACCTCAAGGGGCCTGTCCCCGATGAACAAGCAGTGCCCCGCGCGCGCAAAATCTACGACCGCATACCAACCCATCAGCATCTAGGAGCTCACACTCGAACTCCCCCATCCGCAATCTCCTCGGGCTCCGCGACAGGGGTCTCCAGAGGAACAGGCTTAAGTAGCCACTCAGCTCTGAACTGATGCATGCCGCGCTTCTGGAACATCTTGAAGCCCGCAATATTCCCACAGAAGATACCCATGTAGTCCCCATTCAAGAAATCCAAGACCTGCCTCCCCTCCCCAGTCACCTGCATCGATTGAAACGTCCTCGAAATACCTGGCGGGCCCAAGGGTTCGTCCGAGCAGCGCTCCTAATGCACACCATAGAGCTGGGGCGCCAGGACAAGCTCGACTGAACTTCCGACTCGCACTCGAGCTCCGTGGACACCGCAGCGAGCTGTTGATCATGGTACCCAGGGGATAAAGCGATGTTCTGCCATTCTTGCAGTCTCTGTCGGCGTAGCCCCGAGGAAAACGGAACTGCGCCAGCGCTCTTCCAGATCTGCACAGCAGGTGGCGTGCGAAAACTAGGATCTCACGCCCGTCGCCCGCAAAAGCTGGGATCTTCTCAGCCGCACCACCTAGCAGCTCTTCGAAGAACTTGAAGCACGCGGATTCCAGGCGGGCAACCTGCGATTTCCCCAAGGCCAACGCCGTACGGCCCGAAAGGACCGCTCCCACAATACTGCTGCGAAAAGCCGTCTTCTTGGCCTTCCACGACGAACACAAAGACGCCCCATACGGGCCCACCCCCCAGTCATAGCAGCACAACGCGCCTCCACTTCAAGAGGCCAATACCCACTCGGAGAAAATGACGCCCCAAGGAACGGCACCACAGGAAGAACAACCCCAGGAAGACTTTCGCTCTGGGCAGCCTGGAAAGCCACGCGCGCGAATCTGGCAGCATCTGCCCCCACAAAGTGCGGCGCCACAGACTCCTCACCCTGGCTCTGATAGACCCCGCGTTGCTGGATACGACGATCAGGACATGTATCGGAGACGCGGATGATGGCCACCGCCGCATCGAAGTCTCGGACAACGTGCGTTCTGTTCACGTGATCCGCAAAGACCCGCAGAGACAAGTCACAGTCCGCGCGTGTGATCGGGCTGAAGCCGCGTATACGATTAACATGGAGCACGCGAAGATCGTCAGACCACCCACGCACCGGCGGGACAAACGCTTCTTGAAAACAATGGCAGCATTGGCGTCCCCCATGTAATTCCCCTCCGTATTGCGGAATACTGGGTGCCCCCCCCTCCGCCTGGACGCGAGAGCAAGCTCGCCCATGCCTTTGCCGAATGACGCGCGCATCGGCTTCAACATGCAGTCGATCAACTGCCAGGCCCAGAGACTCGCGTTTTACATGCCCCAAACGCATTTCTCATGACATGTTTAGTTTCCAAGGTAGGCAACATGTTTTGTTTTGCCCTCCACGTCAGCACAGCAGTAGCGCGCGCAGCACCTGTCCTAGACCTCCGAGGCAGATAACCACAGTCATACGACAGGATAACGCGAGGCCTTCGACGAACGGTTTTACCCCACATTTTTTCCGATAGCACACAGCCCATGCAAGAACCTGGCCCCCAGCGCCCTCGGCTTGCCGTTTTCCTTAGAAAGCTGGTCGGTAGACGACATATTCCATTGGGCCGCGAGGCGGCCACGATGTCTAACTTTCGCAAGTACGCAGTGAACCCAATCTTGGAAAAAGCGCACCCAGCCTTCCTGGAGGCCCAGCGCCAAGTCCAGCAACACGCTCCAGGAGGTCTGGGCGCTTAACCAAAGAACAGCCCAAACATGATTTGGCACGCTCCGCAGCACGGCAGCACGTCGCCTCCGCGCCGTGCGAAAACCTCCTGCGATCCTATCCAAACCGTCAGCTGCTAGATCAGCAGCGGCAACAGACACAGGCTCCACCGAGTCACGCGACGACGCCAGCGCAACGAACGACTCCTCGTCAATCGGCCACGCACACATGCCACCCTTACTCGAGGGCGTCGCTAGATCCTCCTCCCACTCCTCCATGCTCGGGGTGTACTCCGCGATCGCCCCGTAACTCCTCCTCCGAGGCCTCACACAAGCTCCCGCCATCAGTCTGCATATCCTCCACTCCTCCGAAACCTGCCCCTGGGCCTGAGCTTCCTCCAACTCCCCCGCCAGCTGGGCCTCCCTCTGCGCACGAAGTCGACGACGTAACGCGCTGCATCTCATGGTGGCTCTGGTGCGCTTCAGGGTGGCCTCCATGGGGTCCTGCATCTGCTCTCGGGCCCTACCACGGGCCTTCAGGGCCTGAATCCTTTCCTGGACGAGCTCCTGGTAAGCCATAGGTAGCGCCTTGGGGATGGCCTCGAACACTCCTGAACCTTGATCCTGAACGAGTTCAACCAGCTGCGACCACGCTACCTCCAATCCCCGAACCCTCGACCAAGGCCCAGACGCCGGTGGCCCCCCGGTGCTCGAGTAGCTGCTGGATGGCCCATTCTACTCTGCTTCGAAGTTCATCCGTGCTTCGTTCAGATCGTAGCGCCTGCCCGAGCCCTACGAAACCCCATCTGCGACATGGGGCTCTTGTCGATCACATGACTTGAGGCCTATCTCGAACACCAACGCAACATGGTCTCTCGGCCGACTGTCGGGGATGACCTGCAGCTTCCGAAACGAACGCATGGCTTGCTCGAAGCGTCTTACTGACCTCGGGCGAGCGTCGGGTATGAGTACATGACCGAACCATGAAACATGTTGGCGGTGACGAGCAACAGACAAACCAGCAAACTGTAACGCGGGCTCCTGGTCATTGCCTCCTCCGTAGTACGGTGGCCCACAAAAAAAATATTGGCGGCAACCAGCCCACAATTCTCTGCCATCTCTCTGAACACCTGGCCCGCGTAGTGTTCCACACCACGGCCGTGTGGTCCATGCGCCGTCGCCGCATACTCCAGTCCGTCATCCACACCAGCTGCAACAGTAGGCACCGATCAAGCTGGGATTTCTGCACTAATATTCTGACCAAGAGCGTGAACTTTCTCAATCGTGGTGCGAAGACGCGTCTGCTCTGTGGGTGCCCTGCTCCTTGGAGGAAACAAAGCCCAACACACGTCACATCTCCAGAGTACGATGTCAACCCGAACCCTCTGATGTCAAGCGGGGCAGGCCAGATCCGAACATCGTCTCGTGCACGAAAAGTCTTATTATTGATATCGAAACACATACCACAGCTCGAATTAGAATACCCAGACTTGATATGATGTCCGCAGTGTATCACATTGGAATGCGGAAGGTCCTCAACAACATAAGGTTTGTCATACGTCCTCCTCTGGGTCGCAACATGATAAGTATGTCAATATTCCGAAACTCTGCATCAATCTCAAGCTCGCGATCTCTGTCCGCCAAAGAGATCAGCTTCCAGCCGACTACACGCATACTTCTCTGGCCCTCAGCACATCACGCACTCTTGCCACAGCTGTCGCACCCACAACGTAGTGTCTACCTCCACGTGTCAGCTGACGCGCACCCACAAGGCACTCGGATGGCAGCAAGAGCGACAAAATAAATGTCTGATAGGTACGATGGAGGTTCGGTACAGGGTGAGTGCGGGCGGGGTGGGCTGCTGGCAAGCCTCAGAATCGGGAACGTGGGTCCCCACCCGAATGCCGTGCAGCCGCAGCACGGAGGCGACCTGGGCTGCGCGGCTAGGAGGATGAGGAGGAGGAGGAGGAGGAGGAGGAGGAGGAGGAGGAGGATGAGGAGGATGAGGAGGAGGAGGGGGAGAACCCCCTCTCCCGCTCCAACTCATGGTGGTGGCGGTGGTGGAAAACACGCCCATCAGGAGTGAGAGGGAGAGCGCCACCTCAGAAAGCCTCGGGCTCGGTGCCGACGGGCGAAGCGGGCAGGCGGGTGCCAAAAGGCCTCCTCCTCAGCCCCCACATCAGGTCCCCCCCCCCATGACCGCCCGCCCGGTAGGCGGCGGGGCAGCCCTCGGGCATGCTGCGAAGGGCCCTGCGCCTCTTCGGGAAGCACTTCCCGACAGGCCGAGGGACCCCCGAGCCTTCTCGGAGGGCCCGCCCCCCCCTCGCTCTTCTCCCCCGGGCTGGCCGCCGAGCGGCAGGAGGACGAAGCGGCGTGGACATAGACTTCCGGAGCTCCGCGCGGACCTCTTGGATCGGCGCTGGGCCACCCTGGCGGCGCCTCTGGTGCCGCCCCCCTGGCACGCCCCGCGCCACAGGTGGGGGGGCACACCGCTGATACAAGACATCCTCGCGGCCCGAGAGGAGGAGGAGCAGGAGGAGGAGGAAGAGGAAGAGGAGAAGGAGGACGAGGAGAAGGAGAAGGAGGAGGAGGAGGAGGCGGAGGAGGAGCGAGAGGAGGAGGAGGAGGAGGAGGAGGAGGAGGAGGAGGAGGAGGAGGAGGAGGAGGAGGAGGAGGAGGACGGGGAGGAGAGAGAGGATAACGAAAATGTATGTTTACGCCGTTTGCTCTTCTGCCAGATGGGGCAAATACACCCAGAGGCGCTCTCCGTGCACGGGGCGGGGTCGGAGCCGTTCCCGGAGCAGTTGCCCAGGGTCGGGAAGCCGCCGTCCCACGCCACGCGAATCGGGTTCTGCTGCGTCCTCGAGTCCCACTGGGAGGCCACCTGTCGGCGGCGAGCGGGGGTGGGAAGTGAGAAGGAGAAGGCCTTCTCAGAAGGCGGCGGGGCTTCTCACAAGGCCTCTGGCCTTGTGAGAATTGCTGTGTGCATTCGGGGAAGGGTTGCCCCTCCTCACTGCCCCCCCTCACTCGCCGCCGACACCTGGCCGTCAGCCCGGACCTCCACGCTGACGGTGCAGGTGCTTGGGGTCCACACGTGAATGCCGTCTTGGCCGCACTCGCTTCCATTCGTCACCTGCTCGCAGACGCGCATCCCCAGGCTCTCACACCGCGCGCTGGCAGCCGAGAAGCTTGCCTTCTCCTGGTAATACCCGCACACGTTCTGCGACTGAAGAAACCCGACCGAGCAGTTGTCGCCAAGGTAGGAGGCATTCTGCTCCCAGCAAGTCAGCTGACACCACTTGTTGTTGGCCCACCAGTCGCCGTTGTTCTGACAGCCTTTGTCGAGAATCCACCACAGAGTCTCTGGCATGTTCTCGCACGTGTACCCCTGGTCGGTCATCCCCTGCGGGAAGTAGTTGCTGCATCCCTTGCAGCAACTGATGCCTGCGGCCGCTGTGTCCGGATTCCTGCACGTGTGCCTCCAGGTCTGGGCTGCGTGCTGGTACCTGCCAGCCTCGGCGACCATGCCTTGGACGCTGACCTGCCCGTTGAAGAAGTAGAGGTGCACGCACGTCGGCTGGACGTATTGGTAGTAGCCTGTCCCAACCTGGACCACACGAAGGCTGCTGGCAACGCACTCCTCGGGCTCTGGCTCGGGTTCGGGCTCCGGCCCGGGCTCGGCTGACGCTGCTCCCGTGCAGCTGATTGTGCTGTTGAGCTCGACGCTGAGCTGGGTCTGTGACAGCGCGGCGTACAGCGACGAGTTCGGGCTCAGCACGATCAGGTCTGCTCCAGAGTAGGCGTATCCTACAAATCTGTACCTCGCACCCTTAAGCAGGAAACCTCGCAGCGGGAGGTCCGAGCACAGTGGGTAGCCATCGCCGAGGTAGTTGCCGTCCAAGTCCATCTTCGGGTAGACGTCGTGCCAAGCACCATTCATGTACATCGGGTCCACAAAGTTCCTGCTCCCCCGCATCTCCTCGATATTGAGGCGAGGGGGTTGCTCCGAGAAGCCAGTGAAAACGCGCGCGAAACTAGTGATGTCGTCGTTGCTGTACGTGGGCAAGTAATTACCGTCCGCGTCGGTCTTCCTTTGTTTTAGAATCGGCAAACTTACTCGGAAGTCCGCGCGGAAATCTTGGGTCGACGCTTCACTCGATAACAACCGCACCATGTGGTGGCGCTGGAGGCGCAAACAAGGGTGCCAGAGACGGGGGAAGCTAGCGCCGACGCGGCAACTCCGCGCGGACCCCAAGACCGCTCATGCTGGCGGTGTTTGGTTAGTAACCGTCGAAGAAGAATATCCGCGACTCTGCCTGTACGATGTGGACGTGTTAGAACGCCACGCGCTGCTCTAGAGAAGGACTCCCCCCTACTCACAGAGTGGTACACCACTCGCGAGCCCACGATCACTTGGTAAAAACGATGGCTTCCCGAGCTTGCAAGAGGGCCTAGGCAGGCAACCAAGGACACAAACATGGCCCAAGATGCTTCGATAACGGGCCAATATGAACCCAAGGGGGCCGAGCATGGCCTCAAGACGGGCTAATATATGCTTCGTAAAGGGTCAAAGAGGGCCACAAGAGGACCTCTAAGAAGGCCTGGAAAAGTCGAAATCTGTGTTTCTTGTTGCTTTTGAAAGAGGCTCGCATGCGATTCGCATTCTCGCCTTGTCGGGCTTCCATCAGCTCAAGACGGCCCAAGAAGCCTCGACGATGACCTCACGACCCCCGCCGAGGGGGGGGGGTCCCGGGGGGTCCCGAGGGTTGGCCCAGGGGGGGTTCGCCACCCAAATACGTTTCCCCCAAAGCGGTTCGGGGGCCCAGAAAGGCACCAAGACGCGGCCAAAGTGCCCCCACATGCTCCCAAGACAGTCCTCGAGGGCCCCGAATCGCCGAAGTATCTGTCCAAGTCGCCAAAGTAATCTCCAGACGGCCCAAAGGTTTCCACAACGCCGCAAGAAGTCTTCAAGAAGACTTCCAAGAGGGCCCCAAGGGGCAAAAATCATAGATTCCCTTCAGACTTTTGAAAGATTCCGGCATTCTCGCCTCGTCAGCTTCCCGACGCTCCAAGACAGGCCAAGAGGCCCCCCAGACCGCCCCAAGATGGCCCAAGAGGCATCCAAGAGGCCCCAAAGCGACCCAAGAGTGCCCCAAGACCGCCCAAGAGGCCTCCAAGACAGCCAAAGAGCCCCAAGACGGCCACCAGACACGCACCCTACGGCAAAGAGGGCCGCAACACAGCCCAAGAGGCCTCCAAGGAATATCATCATCAGCATCATCATCATCATCATCATCATCATCATCATCATCATCATCATCATCATCATCATCATCATCGTCGTCGTCGTCGTCGTCGTCATCATCATCATCATCATCATCATCATCATCATCATCGTCATCGTCATCGTCATCGTCATCATCATCATCATCATCACCACCACCATCATCATCATCATCATCATCAGCATCATCATTATCATCGTCACCATCATCAGCATCATCATCATCAGTATCAGCATCGGCATCAGCATCAGCCTCACCATCATCATCATCATCATCATCAGCAGCAGCATCAGCATCATCATACTAACAATCATCATCATCATCATCATCATTCTTATCATCAGTAGCATCATAATCAGCAGCAGCATCAGCACCATCATCATCACCCTCACCATCATCATCATCGTCGTCATCATCAACATCATCATCATCATCATCAACAACATCAGCATCATCATTATCCTCATCATCATCACTATAAGCATCGTCATCATCATCGTCACCATCATCATCATCATCATCATCATCATCATCATCATCATCATTATCACCATCATATTAATCATCATCAGCATCATCATCACCACAACCACCACCATCACCATCACCATCACCATCATCTGCATCATCATCATCGTCGTCGTCGGCGTCATCATCTTCCTCATCACCATCGTCGTCATCATCATCACCATCATCATCATCAGCGGCATCATCCTAATCAGCATCATCATCACCATTATCAGCAGCATCAACATCAATTTGTTCCTTGCTAAAAATTTCTCCCTGTCGCAACCCGGGGCCAAAATTTAGGGCGGACCGGTCGATTCGCCGGAATCTTCTTCACCACGTATGACTCTGAAGCGTAAGAAGATGCAACAGCTTCACAGATGGAGGGCGGGTTGCTTTGAAAATGTGGCGCTCGTCTTAGCGCCGCGTACATTCGTTTTGCACGAGTATCACGCGTTGAGGGCAAATCCTATTCAGAATGTGGCTCTCTCCTTAGCGACGCGCACATTCTTTTTGTTTTAAACTTGCAAGATTTTCGCGGATTCACATGATCAACGTGCCAGAAATGGTGTTTTGGAAGGATCGGATTAAGGAGTATGAGTGGGCAACAGTTACATTGATTCCCAGTGTTGAAGTCCCAAGAATGGCGTTCTGGTACGATTCAAGGTCGTCAAGGCGCACAAGTCAGGTAGATCCGTTTCGTTGGCAGACTTGGAACACTGTTTTGGCATGCTCCAGGGTTTTCAAATTGTTCTGTTCCAAGGAGGCAGCTTCCTCAGCAGAAGTGAACCTTTGTAGGGGCCTATGAAGCGAAAGCTTGGAGGAGGGTGTATTACACATCGCTGATGTGGAATAAACATCCTCCTCCGAGCATTATCATCAGCAGCAACCACATCACTATCAGTACGTGTATGAAACATCAGTTGCAATATCGCCGTCGCCGTTCATCCTCCTCCTCGTCATCATCATCGTCGTCATCATTACAAACATCAGCATGATCATCATCAACATCATGTGCATTACCATCATCATCACCAGCAGCATCCGGCTCAGCATCATCAGCAGCATCATCGACTGTTTCAACATCATCATCGTCAGCAACATCATCATCAGCGCATCACCATCATCAGCATCATCATTGCCGACGTCATCATAACATAAGTATCGTCATCATCATCACCATCATCACCATCAGCATCATCATAATCATAACACCATGATCAGCATAACCATCGTCGTCATCTCCATCACCACCACCACCATCAGCATCCCTACCACGACCACCACCAACCCGTCTCTCAAAGTCCTGACGACGCGAGGTGCCACAGGCAGCGGTCGCCCGTGCCCCCTCGCACGGCGGCCGCCCCCAGAAGGCTGGGCCCGCAGGGCGGCGGGACTCGCCGCAGGCAGCTGGAGAACAACGGAACTGGCCCGCGACCGGGGGCGCCTGCCAAGGGGCGGCCGAGAAGTCTACCCTCCCGCGCTGGCAGGGCGGGGGGACCCCGCCCCGGGCCAGGCGCCCCCGACCGCGGCAGACAGTCCTTCGACGCCGTGCCTCGCCCGCTGAGTTGGGGAAACCCGCCGAAGTAAGACTTCCGGTTGCGCACCCACGGCGCCCCCCCCCCCCAGGGAACCCAGCTGCCCTCAACGGTCCCCCTGAAGAGTCTGGGGCTGTCTCAACACCCCGCCCCTGGGGCGCTCCGCGCCCAGAGGCCCCTCCGCTGGCGGCGCCAGGGTGTTCAGACCGCCCCGGACTTCTCGAACCTGGCTTCCTCCTCCTCCTCCTCCTCCTCCTCCTCCCCTTCCTCAGACCGCAAAGCGAGCCCAGAACACATGGCCTGCGCTCCTGGTGCCGTTCTGGTGCAGCTCCCACAGGCCGATCGTGAACAGCTGCATGATCTCCCGCGCGTAGTTCTCGTCGGGATACGCCCCGTCGGCGTCCAACGACCGGCTTCCCCGGAAGCTCAGGTACTCGCCCATGATCGGGTTGTAGGTGACCTCCCGGAGCACGTCGCGGTAGTTGCCAAACGCGTTCCTCGTGGAGCAAAACTAAGGTCTGAACATGAGAATTCGGAGCTCAACACGAACTTCTTGGATCTGCGCTGGAACCCCCTTCCTGGCGCGCAGAGCGCGCCAAGGGCGGCGCAGGGGGCGCCGCCGCGAGGGGGCCTGCGCAGAGCCAGGAGATCCGCCCGAACCCCGACAGATTATGCTCGTGCCGCTTGCTCTGCTTCGAGCTCCGCACAAAGATGTCGTAATAAGTCAGCCAGGCCTCGGACAACACATCCTCGCTGGCGCCGTGCCGGCTGGTCACCAGGATCTGCGAGAGCGCCCACGCCGCCCGCTGCCGCAGCTGGTCGTCTGCTTCCAGCGCCAGCATGGTCCACACGACGTGCTTGGAGTGCATGCTCCAGGCCCTCCAGTAAGGCTCCTCGAAGGCAGTGTCGGTTACCCCGTTCTGCACGTCCGTGTAGAAGCTGAAGTGGTGTCCCAGGCTCGGATCGTTCGCCACCTCGCCGGGCGACCCGCACGACTCGTAGCCCACCGTCCAGGTGGACTGGAGCCCCTGGGACAGGGCATCGAAGCCGACGGTATCCCCCAGTCTCCCGATGTACTCCAGGTAGCTCGACTGCGCATACAGAAAGCGGCCCATCGGATGCCAAGATGGAAACACGAGCTGGAAGCCGTGAGAGGTCCACTGCTTGATGGGATCCATGCCGCCGGGATGCCCGCTGACCCATGCAGTGAAGTCGTACACGTTGTACTCGTTGGAGTGCACGTGCAAAAAGTAGTCAGAGCCGCTGTTGGCAACGGCACCAGCCGCCACACCCTCGCAGCTCACGTACACGTCGCGCAGGAAACCCTCCTCCAGCGCCAAGGCCGAGGCTACGGCCGCGGCATCGGCAGCGCCCATGGCCGTCACGCTGCAGTCCTCCGAGCTGCAGTTCAGCAGCCTCCACCGCGACTGCCTCCCACAGGGCGACTCGCTGGCGACCAGGCCGGTCACCGAGTACACGTACCTAGAACATGAACTCTCGGAGCTCCGAGCAGACTTCTTGAATCTGCGCTGGTACCTCCCTCCATCACGCGCGGAGCGAATTAGAGGGGCCCAGCGCCGACTCAAGAAATCCGCGTGGATCTCCGACACATTGTGTGTACTGAGGAAACAACAAAGCAGCGATACCACTACGCTCCAGACCTTCCACGGGATGTGTACTGACCAGACTTGCGAGGCGAATCCGGCCGTCGGTGACGAGGGCCTCCCAGGACCCAAACAACGCGAAAACGAGGCAAGGGGGTAGCGGCATCGGTACTTCATCTTCTCTGGCGAGTATTAGATCGGGCATGTATTCCTACATGCGGATTTTGGAGAAAAACAAAAATGCTCAAACCATACTCAACAAGACAGTCAAACAATAATCGACAACTCGTCCCCAGACTATCTGTTTTTGAATATTTTTGAACATATATATACATATATATATATATGTATACATAAATACGTATACATATATATATATATGTGTATATCATTTTTTTCATATCGGTAGACACATAAGTCCTCCTGTCGAGGGATAGGCCCGAGTTGCGACGAGCACCTCTCGGACGAGTTGAAGAAGGACTCGAAGGTCGTGGCGTTGAGGACGAAGCTCGACGGAGGCGCGGCCCCGCCCACCGCCAGGGCGCCTGAGTATCGTTTAACCGATCCCCATCCCCAGCGGCGTGGCCTGGGCCCCACTGGCCGATCTACCCCCCCCCGTGGATGAGGATACGGGTCGTTCTCTTCGGGTTTCGAGGGGTGCATCCCCAACTGGGGTGGCAATCTTTCGGCGACTACACTAGGTGCGGTTTGCGAAGGGTGCGGTTTGCCTCCTTCTAGCACAGTAGAGCACACATCGGGGATGACAGTGTCGCTCGAAACGACGACAATCATGACATCGTCTCTCACAACGGCCCCGGAAAGGCCGCCACAGAGCAACTCGCAAACCGCACCCCAGCGCAACCGCACCGATAGTACTCGCCGAACTTGGTGTGAGTCTCGAAGGGGGATGGAGATGGAGATACAGGTCGTTCTCTTCAGGATTCGAGGAGGGTGCATCCCCACCTGGGGTGGTAATTTGGTCGGGGTCTCGAAAGGGGATGGAGATGCGGATGGGTCGAGGACCTGCTGACCCGGGTCACTCAAGACCCGGGTCAATCAGGCCTGGCAGAATCCTGCAAGCTCCTGCAAGATCCCGCACCACGACCCAGGTCCACGCGAAGGATCCTGCAAGATCCTGCACCAAAGCCCGGGTCAGTGCGACCCTGGCCCCGCAGGATCCTGCAAGATCGGGCGCTCTGGCCGACCCCCGTTTGCAGGGACCCCCGTGTGGAGGCTCCCGAGGAGGAGGAGGAGGAGGAGCAGGAGAAGGAGGAGGAGGAGGAGGAGGAGGGAGGAGGAGGAGGAGGAGGAGGGGAGAAGGAGGAGGGAGAGAGGAGGAGGAGAGGGAGGAGAGGAGAGGAGGGAGGAGGAGAGGAGGAGGAGAGGAGGAGGGGAGGAGGAGAGGAGGGACGAGGAGGAGGAGGAGGAGGAGGAGGAGGAGGAGGAGGGAGGGAGAGGAGGAGAAGGAGGAGGGAGGAGGAGGAGGAGGAGGAGGAGGAGGAGGAAGGAGGAGGGAGGAGAAGAAGAGGAAGGGACCCACGCCGGGCGCCGCACGCGGCCCGCAGCTGGCAGCTGCCCTCGTTGAGGAAGGTCCGGGGCACGGCGCGGCACGCGCCGAGGCCGCCGCCCGAGGGCGAGGCCAGGTCGTTGTGGACGAGCTCCAGCCTCGTGGCGCTCCTCCTCCTCCTCCTCCTCCTCCTCCTCCTCCTCCTCCTCCTCCTCCTCCTGTTCCCCCCTCCTCCTCCTCCTGTTCCCCCTCCCCTCTCCCTCCTCCTCCACCTCCTGCTCCTCCTCGTCCTCCGCCCCCTCCTCCTCCTCCCTCCTCCTCCTCCTGTTCCCCCCCCCTCCTCCGCCTCCTCCTCCTCCTCCTCCTCCTCCTCCTCCTCCTCCTCCTCCTCCTCCTCCTCCTCCTCCTCCCCCCTTCTGTTCCTTGACATCCTCCGCCTCCTGTTCCTCAACGTCCTTGTCCTGCTCGTGGTCTCCGTCTGCAAGGTCGGCGGCACCGGCCGTAAGGCCTTCGCAATATGCTGCTTCGAGCGACCCCTGGGGGAACGAACAGCGACATCAGCACAAACAACTCGGAGGTCCGCGCGGACTCGGCGCGCCAGGGGCGATGCCAGTAGCGCTGCCAGGGGGGCTCCAGCACCGATCCGAGAAATCCGCGCTGACCTCCGAGATGTAACGCTCATGGCATTGGTCGTTCCCCTGTTCCCGACGGCGCGCGGGCGCCCAATTGGTCGACAACTGCCGCTGCTGGACTCAAAAATAGTTCAACCGGGTTCCGTGTTCCTCCCGGGGTTGAATGAGCTCCGACCTTGGACGGAAGGGAAAACGCCCCCTCAAAACAACTTCGTGGCACAAGAGCAGGTTTGCCTCATCGGGAGCATTTATGCTTGCATATAGGGCGGAAATCCGACACATGATCGCCCCGACACGCGAAGTCGTTTAGTAAACGCACCCACACAAGGAATCGAACAGGGCGGGGCTGATTCGTAAACGTCCAGGGCCATTTCCTAAACGCCAATTCTCGGTTCCAGGTGGTTTTTGTTCCCTTGATTTAGGTCGGGCATGTTCCCCTACAGGCGAACCTTTGGAGGAAAAGAAAAAGTAGCCACATTTTGAAAATCAAAAATTGTCAAACGATCATCCCCGGATTATTTCTTGATTGGTTTTGAATGCTCCTCCTGTAGAAGGACACGCCCGACTTCACCCATGATCTTCGGATTACCTTCCCTGAGAGCGGCACGGCATCTGTTTGTCCACGGCTCGCGCGGGCCAAGGCCCAGCACGCTGCCGCGAACGAGAAGCCAAGAGACTTGGTGCGAACCCCCGACGGAGCTGGGATGTTCCGGGATCCGTGCTGGCCTCGCCTCCCTGGCCATCCCGTCCAAGAAGCGACATGCTACAACACGGTGCGCCAGATGTTCGGGGCGGGCGCGCGTCCCCAACAGGTGCACATGGCAAAAGTATGTCCTGATGCGTCCCATACACACGAGCTCTCGGAGCTCCGCGCGGACTTCTCGGATCGGTACGGGCATTTCCTTCCCAGGCGCACGGAGCGCGCCAGGGGCGACGTCGGAGGCGACGCAAGAGTGGGCCCAGCGCCGATCGGAGAAATCCGCACGAACCTGCGAGAAAAAAAAAATGTTGATCTCCCCTGTGGCGCGCCAGCGACGGTGCCTTTGTTTCTCTTTGCAAAATGACGGTTGTTCCACGGGAGGGGTCGGGAGGGAAGGTAACGGTAACGGCGGCTGCGGCGTGGACACGCAAAGGCGCGTCCTCGCCACCAGCACATCAATCGTTTGTGTGCACCAGTCCCTGCGTATACGACAATCCTTTATACCTGCGTGCAACACAACGCCGCCCGCGTATACCACAATGCCTCCGTGCACCACAGCAGCCGCGTGCACAGCAGCACCACGTCGCCCATGTGTACCGCGGTGCCTGAATCTACTGCAGCAGCCGCGTGCGCAAAAGCGCCTGTGTACACCACCTTGCCTGCATACACCACAGCAGTTTTTTTTGGGGGCGGGGCAAGGCCCCAGGAGAACGGCGGTGACCGACGCCCCCTGCGCGCGCCACGGGCGCGCGGAGCCCCGCCGCCGCCGACGACGCGTGGGCTGTCGCGGCGCGGGGCGGCCGCCGACGACGCGCGGGCCGTGGAGGCGAGAGGGCGCGCTGGTGGCGCCGAAAAGCCACGCGCGTAGCTAGCACCAGGTGGCGGGTGGCGGGGGCGGCAGCGCTCGGGAGGCCTGGTCCCTCGCCAGCCGCCGCGCCGTCAGCGAGGCGCGCCGAGCTGGCGGGGTGCTGACCCCTACGAATGCGGTCAGCCCGACGCGCCCCGCCTCGCCCACGCGCGGGGCGCACAGGGCCGCTAAAGCCTTGATGCTGCCGAGGCGCCCCATGGCGCAGGCGCGGCACATCGCGCACAGCGCGTAGCCGACGGCGCGCTGCACCACGTGGCCGAAGGCATCGCGCGCCCGCGGCGGGCCGTCCTCGGCGTCGATCTCGCCTCCAGCAGGCGCCGCTGGGCCCGCCGACGGCGCGGGGCGCTGGCGGCCAGTCCGTGGGGATCGGGACCTCGCCGCTGCCTCCGAGGTCCGCTCGCTGGGGGGCGCGGCTCCGCCCAGGCCGCTGGCCGCGGCGGCGCCCTCGGTCGCAACGGCCCCCGCTTTGGCAGGCAGCGGGCCCCCCGAGCTCGACGCTGGGCCGCGGCCGCGGGCCGAGCCAGCCGCGCCCGCGGTCGCGGGCCCCTGCCCCACCGCACTCGGCGCGCTGCCCTGGCCCCGATCAGACCCGAGCGCTCCCGGCTGTCTGTCGGCGCCGTCAGCGGCTGCAGCGGCTGCCACCGCCGCCGCCGCGAGGGCTGCGCCTGCAGCCGCGCTGGGCGGCGCCGCCTTCCTGGCCGCCGACGCACGACGCACGGGGGAAGATGCAACGCTTGCTTCGACCTCGCGGTTCGCGCCGCGCGCGGGCAAGCCGCGCGCGGCGCCGGAGGCCCGAGCCGAGCGCGCCGAACGCGTGCTCGGCGAGGAGGAGGCGGCCCTCATCGGCCTCGTCGCGGGCCACGTAGCCGCGGATGCCGTCGAGCCTGTCGGCGGCCGCGGGAGCGCCGGCCTCGGCCGCCCAGCGCGCGACGCCGTCGACGAAGAGCTGGGCACGCAGCTGCCTCTGTCTCTCGGCCGCGGGGGCGCGCAGGTGGTGGGCGACCCCGCCTGCGACGCGGTCGGCCTCGTAGTTCCCGCGGCGCTGCTTCCACGCGATGACGCCGC